AGCAGCTTCCTTGGGGTGCCTACATCCAACCTCTTATACAAGGTGGTGGGAGAGGACAGGATGAGGTAGGTAGTGTAATAGGTACCATCTTCCCCTCCATCTGGTGGGAAGGGGGATGGTGCTTGACCCCCTGCTGTGCCCTATGCCTCATGCTGACTCACTTTCCCCAAGCCCTACCCCTACGCTACCCCACTCTTTTTCCCCCAACTTCTTATCTCCAGTCTGCCTCTTCCTACCCCTGTTCTGACCCTGCTCCCACCCCAACTTCTCCCCTGAGCACACCCCATTCCCTCTCCTTCATCTCCTCAGAACTTGTTCAGAAAGCTCCAGGAGGGCAGGGGATAAGTACATCATTGGCGCCACCAGCAGGTAAGATGGGCAGGACCTTGGTACTGGTGGGTGCTCAGTATCCACTAATTTTCTCCCATGGGTGCTCCATCCCCAAGCATTCACGGAATCGGTGCCTATGGGTAGCATGCCGAACCAGTGTTTCTGGGCCCCTCTATGCACCAACTAGGCTAGTTCTATTGGCATACCAGAAGAAGTATACTGCATAGGTCTAGACCTGGTTGCAGAACAGGGAGAGACTGGGGTGAAAGCTGTGTCTGATTCTAGGACGACTCCTGGCGTAGTACTATGTTGTAGAGTCCTTTGCTCGTGATAAAGGTATAGCTGAACCCCAGTATGGGATCCCTCTGGTAAAAATCTTCTATCTTTCCACCCTGTCAATCACATCATTCTTTTAGGGAAACAGGGCTCAATGACAGAAATCTCTGTAGCAGTATATACACTAGGTCTTATGCATTTGGGTTGCAGGGGAATACCATTAACTCTTATAAAACAAAGGCTGTGATGGTTTTACAATCCCACCCAAAGAGCTAGATGATTTGCTCACAACCATGGGATGCAAATCCTAATGTCCTTTTCATCTTGTCTGTTCCTTAGATGACCAATGCAACAACCAACCTAGGATCACAGATTTGCTTACAAGGCAAAGACACATGAGCCTTTTGAGTAGTCTTGCACATATTGCGTTTTCCCTGCTTCTTCATGTAAAACTCTTGAGGAAGTTCAAGAATATATATGTTAACATTTATAATTAATGATTGAAGTACACATTGGACAATTTTCCTTCTTAGGTCAGTTTGGTTTTTGCCCTTGGTATGAATCCTTAGATAACGAGGACTGTTTTCTCTCTCTCTGCAGGTCAGATGGAGAGTATGGTGCAGAGGAAAAGAAGAAGGCAGGAAAATCACCCAGTGTATTGCCACAGACCCCTTCTAATGAGGTTGAATATTTTGATGACCGGAAAAAAGTTGGTGCTGCCAGGTAATGTCAGATAAAAAATTGCTGAGACCCATCCAAGCAAACTAGTAAGAAAATAAATATTTAATACACTTAATATCCAGATTGTGGCCCAGTTTGTGCAGCTGCACAAGGGAATAATGGAGTGTCAGAC